TAGTTTAATTTTTCGTTTTTGCACAGCTGAATTAAATCAGTAACATATTCAAATATTGACTAAAGAAAAAATAATTAATGCATAATTACTAATTAAAGTAATTCAAAAAGGCTAAGATATTACTTAATCACGTATATTAAACGAAAGAAGTTGGCCAAAAAAAAAAGTAAAAAAAGTAATTTTATATTTTTAAAATTTTTTATATATATAAAATTTAAAAAAAAATAAGAAAAAGAAACACCTATCCCGACAAAATTTCGTCGGCAAAGAAAACTTTCGTCGGGAGAGGTGTAATCCGACAAAGTTTTGCCGGCATAGACCTTTGCCGACGAAAATTCGTCGGGAGAGATTGGTTTGCTATTTACAAGGTAGGGCCGAGCGGCTATACTGTAAAAATTCTTTTTTGGGATATAGCCGCACGGCTATACTATTAAAATACTCAATCTTGGAGAGTCACCGTGCGGCAATACTGTTCAAATATTAAATTTAAGGAGTATAGCCGACCGGCTATACTATTTAAAGGTATAGGACAGTAATTCAAAGGTATAGAATAATATTTAATTATCTCAAATAATTTTGTGGAATTCAAAATTATTTTAAAAATAGTTTCAATTATTTAAAAATTCTAGAAAATTATTTTAGTATTTTGAAAATGGAATTTCAGTCTCCAAACCCGAAATCCAAGTCCCAAACCAAAAACCTTGTTCCAAAACCATTCGCAAGCCTCGAACCTTAACTGTAAACCTATTGTTGGACACTTAGGACTCGATTAGGCTTGGATAATCATGTAACTCGACCTAGAGCTTTACGATTTAGGTTTCGCCCCCAATCTTGGGTTAGTATGATATAACCGAACCTAACCTAGACATGTCTCGGCGAATTTTGTTGGGATAGAAAAGAAGGGACTCGGGGCGCTTGGGAAATTTAATTAAGACACCCAAATGAAAATAAGTAGTTTAATTTTTCGTTTTTGCACAGCTGAATTAAATCAGTAACATATTCAAATATTGACTAAAGAAAAAATAATTAATGCATAATTACTAATTAAAGTAATTCAAAAAGGCTAAGATATTACTTAATCACGTATATTAAACGAAAGAAGTTGGCCAAAAAAAAAAGTAAAAAAAGTAATTTTATATTTTTAAAATTTTTTATATATATAAAATTTAAAAAAAAATAAGAAAAAGAAACACCTATCCCGACAAAATTTCGTCGGCAAAGAAAACTTTCGTCGGGAGAGGTGTAATCCGACAAAGTTTTGCCGGCATAGACCTTTGCCGACGAAAATTCGTCGGGAGAGATTGGTTTGCTATTTACAAGGTAGGGCCGAGCGGCTATACTGTAAAAATTCTTTTTTGGGATATAGCCGCACGGCTATACTATTAAAATACTCAATCTTGGAGAGTCACCGTGCGGCAATACTGTTCAAATATTAAATTTAAGGAGTATAGCCGACCGGCTATACTATTTAAAGGTATAGGACAGTAATTCAAAGGTATAGAATAATATTTAATTATCTCAAATAATTTTGTGGAATTCAAAATTATTTTAAAAATAGTTTCAATTATTTAAAAATTCTAGAAAATTATTTTAGTATTTTGAAAATGGAACTTCAGTCTCCAAACCCGAAATCCAAGTCCCAAACCAAAAACCTTGTTCCAAAACCATTCGCAAGCCTCGAACCTTAACTGTAAACCTATTGTTGGACACTTAGGACTCGATTAGGCTTGGATAATCATGTAACTCGACCTAAAGCTTTACGATTTAGGTTTCGCCCCCAATCTTGGGTTAGTATGATATAACCGAACCTAACCTAGACATGTCTCGGCGAATTTTGTTGGGATAGAAAAGAAGGGACTCGGGGCGCTTGGGAAATTTAATTAAGACACCCAAATGAAAATAAGTAGTTTAATTTTTCGTTTTTGCACAGCTGAATTAAATCAGTAACATATTCAAATATTGACTAAAGAAAAAATAATTAATGCATAATTACTAATTAAAGTAATTCCAATTAATATAGAGTTGATGGACCATTTGAACGAAAAAATTAATTTAGGCCCCAAAATGTAAATTGCGTACAAGTTTGGGGACCATTTGAGTAATTAACCCTAATATTTATCCTAAAGAAATTGAAATTGAATCAATTACTCTTCCTAAACTATCCTAAAGAAATTTAATATGGAGCCCACGTTTAATTATTTATTTCTTATCCTCTGGTAAATACAGGAAGTCAAGAATTTGAATAATTCTAATATTTGTTTGTAAACACTAGGAATTAAGGAATTAGGGTTAATCGTTGTATTAGTCCTCGAACTTAGACCCGATTTGCATTTGAGTCCTCAATTTCCAAAATTGTTCCCATGGCCCTTCAACTTCAGTTTCGTTAGGACAAATGGTACTGCCGTCAATTTTGTTAACTTTTTTGTTAAATGCAGGGGCAAAATGGTATCTTTACAGCGTTTCGGTCTTTTTCATTCAAGGAAGCCATAGCCGTCCACCCTATACTGCACCCCTCCTCCAAATCCCATGCAACTGTTGGGCCCACGACGACGACGTAGCTATACGTTCCCGGTTGGGACAAAGAAGTAGGTCCCCCAGTAGTACTACTAATGCATGGAGCAGTGTCCACATAGAGAGATGAATTCACTGGATTCGCATATTCTGTCCATGCTACTATATTCATAGTCATAAACACTATATGGATATCGAGCATATATGGAATCAGATGACAAAGAATAGAAAGGAATGGAGGAGCAATTGTTCTTCTGAAAGCCAGGATCTACGACTCGAATTGTGTTGTTATTGTAGTTGATTGACTTTACGTGGTATTTTGCAGAATGTAGTTGCAACACTGTAACGCTGTTCTCACAAGACAGACAGTAGGCTAAATCGCCGCAATTTTTCAGGTCGTCTTTCAGCTGAAAAGGGCAGCTTATGTTATGGATGTTGCCACAGGAAGAAGGAGAACACGCTTTGGTGTTACAAGTTTCACCAAATATTAAGCCAATAACAAGAAAGCCTACAATTGCAAACCTCCCACACAAGGCTCTTCTACCTTCCATGGAGATCCCAGAGGCTAGAGCTAGCTAGCTAGGTTTTTGTTTGACAAGTCTAATAGTTTAAGGTCCCATTCAAACTAGAACTAATTTATATCAAGTCAAAACAGCGTTGAGAGAGTACGAAGACCGGCATTAAAAGTAGATGGTATTTTCTCTTAAGTTTTATTTAATTATTTGGATCTTAAATGGGGACTTTGCCGTAATCAAAACTTTTTGAAGTTAAGTGCTTTTTCAAGTCAAAATGTGGAATTAGTTGCTTCAATTATTTGGATCTTAAATGGGGACTTCCCTGTAAAGAAAACGTTTTGAAGTTAAGTGCTCCACTACTTTTCAAGTCAAAATGTGAAATTAGTTGCTTCAATTATTTGGATATTAAATGGGGACTTCGCTGTAAAGAAAACGTTTTGAAGTTAAGTGCTCCACTACTTTTCAAGTCAAAATGTGGAATTAGTTGCTTCGACTTGGTTTTGTTTTGGTCAAAGTGACTTAGTAAAGAAAACGTTTTGAAGTTAAGTGCTCCACTACTTTTCAAGTCAAAATGTGAAATTAGTTGCTTCAATTATTTGGATATTAAATGGGGACTTCGCTGTAAAGAAAACGTTTTGAAGTTAAGTGCTCCACTACTTTTCAAGTCAAAATGTGAAATTAGTTGCTTCAATTATTTGGATATTAAATGGGGACTTCGCTGTAAAGAAAACGTTTTGAAGTTAAGTGCTCCACTACTTTTCAAGTCAAAATGTGAAATTAGTTGCTTCAATTATTTGGATATTAAATGGGGACTTCGCTGTAAAGAAAACGTTTTGAAGTTAAGTGCTCCACTACTTTTCTAGTCAAAATGTGGAATTAGTTCACTACACCAAACTTAAGCTTTTTTTGCTTAAAATTTACGACATGTGAGTTTTATCAAACTTTCTTTCTTCCTATTCCACAGGCAGATGGATTTGCTGCCGTTGAAATAATTGAAGCAACGTTGCTTCAATTATTTGGATCTTAAATGGGGACTTACCTATAAAGAAAACGTTTTGAAGTTAAGTGCTCCACTACTTTTCAAGTCAAAATGTGGAATTAGTTACTTCAATTATTTGGATATTAAATGGGGACTACGCCGTAAAGAAAACGTTTTGAAGTTAAGTGCTCCACTACTTTTCAAGTCAAAATGTGGAATTAGTTGCTTCAACTTGGTTTTGTTTTGGTCGAAGTGACTTATTGTTTCTTGATGGTTTAAATGCGTTCATACTGTTTCTACAAGAAAATGCTACTTATTCCACATTTTTTCTTTCAAAATTTTTTTCCCCGACATGTCAAAAGAATGAACAATCTTATAGAACTCAAGTGAATAGGTATGGGGCACCCATTCATAGAATGCGATAGTGCAGTCCATAGTGTTATTAAATAATAAAATATGGATGCAAAAGGACAAGTAATTATAGTGTGGTATTAGAGTAGAATCACGTGATGTACCTTGTGCATGTGTTATGATATAAGTGGATATTTATTGATTAATATCAACCATATCAACCACCTATATTATAACACGTTGACGGATTATAGTATTATGAAACGGTATTCCAGTACAATACAATAATTTCTCACAACAAATAGGGAGGAGGTGTGAATAGCAGTAAATAGGGAATAATAATTAACAAAGCCATTCCAATAAGATTTAGAAGTGTCATATTATATAGCACCGTAATTTGATTGGTCAGTTGAAAAAAGGTCAGATTTGTTGGCCAAACAATCCATCCAAATATATCAGATACAGATACGACCCTTTTTTTTATGCTTAGAAGATTTCCATGGGCATTAACACCTCAGAAATGCAGCAAATGCTCATCTCTTCCTGTTGCATATTGTTAATGGCTTTCTCCAAAGTTCTTGGAGAAACACAAAATACCTGCAAAGAATTGAAGTGTGGGGATAAAGGCCCGCTTATCCATTTCCCTTTCAGCCTCAGATAGGCAACCAGATCACTGTGGCTATCCTGGGTTTGCTGTGTCTTGCAATGAGAGACATCATACGGTTCTTGAGCAGCCAATTCCAGTCAAACTCTCTGTCAAAAGCATAGATTATAAGCATCAGTCAAACTCTCAGTCAAAAGCATAGATAATTGCCTGCTGGTAAAAGTTTCAGAAATCCTCAACATGTCAATCTTTCCATTCCACTTTTCAAAAGAGTCCATGAACATTACCTTATTCAATTGTTCTTCTGTTCTTGAAAGATGGCCATATAATTATCAGGTTCTAAATGGCCCCTGCCTCAGCAACCTTGGCAATCAAATCTATGTCGTTTATGATGACTACGAAATTGATAACCTCCAGCCTTGCACAAAGATGCATAATGTTTTATCAGTTCCAGTTTTTGATTTAGACAGATCTCTTAGTGTTTTGAGATGGTCTACACCAAATTGCACAAAATGTGAAGCAGGAGGTAAGAAGTGTATGCTGAAGAACAATGGCACCCGAGTTGAAATTGAATGTGTTGACCTGAAGAAAGCAAGTAAGGCAATAGTACATATTTTGCTTCACATATTTCCTGCTCAAATTTTTACACATCTTGTAAAGTGCCGGCAATTATTCAGGGAATGTTGCCCAGGAGGCAATATGTATAAATGAATTTCACGAACATGACGATCTGCTTTATGTCATTATCTTTTACAGGTGCAGCAACGAAATTAGCGGCAACCAGTGAGTCACCTAACTGATTATTTTGCTGTGACATGTCTAGAAGACCGGGGTATATATTTACTTTTTAATGATTATTTTGTAGGTGCAACCATGGGTTCATTCGTCCTCTTACTACTGGTTGTTGCAGTCTATCAGGTCTATAGATATGATATAAAGGAAAACGATAATCGATTAAAATTTGAAAGATTTCTAGAGGATTACAAAGTCTTCAAACCAAGTAGATATTCCTATGCAGATATTAAGAGGTGTTGGAGCAAGATTTCTTTCATGAAGAAATACTTCCACAGGTTCTTGACTCCAGTCCGCACACTTCCTTGGTTGAAAAGAACTACGGATCGCGTTTCCGAGAATGAACGATGGAAATGGGGTGAGTACCTGCAAAAGCCACTCTGACGCTCAAGACAGTGTTTTGCAGCGAACTCTTAGTGCTCAATTGAATTTCTCGTACCTTTGCTGGAGGTATGGTTAGGATTTTACAGCGCTCAGAGCCCTTTGGGTTTAGCTCCACCTCCCTAGCTTTGCGCATCCCATCCTCCACTCCCCGATCATTCCACCCTCCGCACTTCTTTGGTGGGAGGGCAGCTCGACCGCTCCACGTCTTTTAATTATGGCATACGGGTTAGGTCATGCTACGTGGGATTTGGTCTCCACAGAGCTACGTCATGCTATGTGGATTTTGGTCCCCACAGTGCCCCCTTTTTTTCTCTCTACACGCTTCACGGGTGGAGGGAAAAATAATTTGATTTAGATTTGAATTCCTTCATATTGAGTCTATGATGTCGTCAGGGGTTCATGGCTGAACCCGAACGAACAATTCGTCTTCCTCTCTTGGACTTGCTAAGTCCGAATAAACGACTATATTATTGCCAAACCCACTAAAATATCACTTGCTGAGCCTAATTCTTACCTTGGGTTTAACGTTGGGCCCAATCCCCATGTTCAGCCCACATGCACAAGGGTTAGTTGAAATTTAAAATTACGTGGGAATCCAATGCATGAGTGCCGAACCCAACTGTGGGGCCTACGCGCTGCAGAGTGCAAACCTATAGCCGATCCGCTTGTTGAATGCCCAGCGCCAACCCGCATAGAGTGTACCCTTGGGAGTTTTGCATTTCAGCCGATGTCGTGGGCCCCAAATGCGCTTCAAATGATGTGGTGGACCCCATACTCTTTGCTATTCTCTTTGCTAGCCAATCCCAAATGGACCCCAGCTTTTGGGTTTCCTCTTCTTGCCCTTGAGCTGACCTCGTGGACCCTAGCGCCTTTCGTTTTTCACTTTGCTCTTTCAACCGATATCCAATGGCCTACAAGTTTGGAATGTTTTTTTTCTATTATTTTTTAGGTGTGCTTGCGCTTTAGCTGACTCCCTGGACCCCAACGCCTTTCGTTTTTCAGCCAATCCCCGGTGGTCCATGACTTGGGTTTGTTTGTTTGTTTGTTTTTTTTTTTTTTTTTGGGCTTGTTGGCCAAACCCAAGTAAATAACACCCCTCATCCATGCATGTTGCTTTTTCATGCACCCTTGTCCTTGCTCTTATTTTCACATGCAACGCTTTATATCATGCACTTTGGCTTATATATGCAATCCAGTGGGCCTCTAGAGAAATCTTAAATTTTTCTCTTGGCTTTTCAACCAACCCGATGGACCCCAGCTCCTCTAGATTTTTCCCTCTCACTTCAGTCGATCCCAGGTGGTCCACAACTTAGTCTTTGCGTGAAAAAGAGAATAAGCCTAGCTCCATAGATGATACTCATTATTTGGCACTATTTATTGCTTATACATGTTGCATTCCTTTGTCTTTTTGTCTGTCTAAGAAGTGCATGCATCTTTCTGTCAAGGAAATGCATGTGTTGGGTAGAATAACTTTGATTGGTCATATCAGACCAAGCCTTTGTTGCGAGAGCCTAAGGTGAATATCTGATTCGGCCGTATCAAGTCTTATCCTTACTTTTGAAAAGAACTTCTCCCCATGACTTTTTGTCATATATTTTTCTGTAATGCTCATGCCTTCTGATATAAAAGGTCGGGCGATAAAAATACATTTCATTCACAAAACCGTTCATATTTTGCTTTTGTTCCTCATATAGGCTCTAGGCTTGAAGGGAAAGGAAAGCGTTCTGTGCATTTCAAAATTATGTCGAAGGTCACTTGTTCTTGCTATGACCCAGTAAGTATTATTTCAATCTTTGCTATTTTCATGACGAGGCACGAGATTCGGCCCAAGTCTAATGGTGCCTCACCGGGCTACAAGATCCTTAAAGCTCGCACCAAAGGATGTGTTTCCGACAACGTGGGGATCGATTGTCTTCCTCTGGGATCGGACATGTACACTGGTACTGGTATCCTTGAGGGCTCCTTAATTCTTTCGCCAACCCATTTAGAGTACGTTAGGTTTCCACTTGATCCCTTTTTTCATATGCTTTTGTTCTTCTTGGATCTTCACCCCATGCAATTGAACCCAAATTCTTATCTCCTCATATCTGGTTTTCTGGCCATCGGGTTAAAGTGGGGTGTGTCCCTTAGCTTTAAGGATTTCATCTACCTCCATGACTTAGCTTGTGTTAGGGGTGAAAGTCACTATTTCTTTTTTACGCCTATATATGGTAAAAAGATATTTTCTTGTAAACTCACTTCCACCAAGTATTGGAAAAACCAACCTCTCTTAATCACTGGGGAATGGGCGGCGCTTGAAATGTCTCACATGCTTATCCCATCGGTGTTTGGCTCGAAACCTTGTATAATGATTTATGCCTTTTGAATATAATTTATTGTGTTTTTGCATGTCTAACCTTTTCTCTTGGCAGCGCTTCCTTCGGACAAAAGGTACATCATTCCTGAGGACCGGATCGTTTGGTTGAAGGAGAACTTGGTAGGTAAGGGGTGGGATGTCACTTGCTTCGTGGACCCTGCAACTCTTATCTGTATGTCCATTGCTCGTCGCACAGTGGTTTACATTCCGTTCATTTTAGCTGATTTGAACCTGCACGGAATAGATATGTTCAAGAACATTTGTTCTGTCGACATCGAGCTTTGTTGCACTAAGAATTCAGCGTCCCTAATCCAGGCCAGTTTTCAAAAAAAGGAGGCTGAGTTAGCTCAACACAGCAACTCTGAGGACTGCGCATCTGAGTCTGAGTCTGATCATTCAGATATGTCGACGCCACGTTCACTATTAGTCTCGGGTCGTAGAGAAAGGGGATCGGGAAAAGAGACCGAGCCCTCCGAGTCTGTAAAGAAGTCCCGCCATGCTCCGCAGGTCGTTTTGGGTTTGAGTTCGCCTAATGCTGCATCCGCCTTGAGTACTCCTTCCCGACCTCAGCAAGTCCCTCATGTTCCTACTCCTACTAGCTCATTGGGTGAAAATGATTTCATGGCCATGACTGAAAAACATATGTAGGGCTACCAATCACACTGCTTGAGTGCGATACGATAATATTTAGGGTTTGTACTGATGTTATCCAGTTGTCATGTCCTATTATAGCTGCCTAATGCTCATTTTCTTATGTCTCGCAAATGGTTGGGATTTGCAACGCGCAAATGACAATGTTCCATTCTATGAGCCACGAGATATGCGAAAAGACAGCAACCCTCGAGCTCAATGGGAAGCGCATCAAGGACTATGAAACTGAGCTTAAACAGCAGCGGGGAGAGCTGCAGAGTCTGAGAAGCGGCCAAAGCACTACACTGATAGAGGTTGATCGCCTTAAGCAGGAATTGGTGGATGATTCACGCGATAGGGATAAGAAGTATCAGGCCAACACCAATCAAATCGGGGTCGAGATGGCCAGGCAATTTAGATACGATTGGGTCCAAGGTCAACAGCTCCCTGAACACCGGTTTGTGGGGGATCCAAATAATTATGACGATGAGTTGGGATTTGATCTCGTTGGCTATGAACTATTTCAGGGTAAGCATCCTGATGATTGTCCTCCGACGGATTACCTCCCCCATCACAGGACCCTGCCAGCAGCTTTTCATGGGTCGACGTCAGCCCCTTCTGGGTTAGTTGGGACCAATGTCCTTGGCACCACTCCTAATGCAGCATCGTTCATTGCCAGCACTAGGCCCGTCCTTGGATTTATAGGCTTCACGTCACCCACTGGATTTTCTACTTGTGCTGGGCCTACCTCGGAGGCTGTTTTCGATCCGTTCGATGATGCATCCTAGATTGCTTATCGTTGTTCACTGCTTGTGTTTTTCTTTCAACTTTACCTTTGCTTTTGTGTACTTAATTATCTCGGGTGTGCTCCCTAAATTCCGGGCTCGCTTTACCAAACTTTATGAGTTATTCCTCTAGTTTGAATTTAACCCAGAAGATAATTACCCAAGGTGGATCGCCATTTTCAAATTCAAAAACAAGGGATCGAATATCCTATCGTTCACGTATTACGGCCTTATCAAGCGTCCCCCATTGAGCTACGTCTCTAGATAAGTCTCTATATAAATGTTCATTCAGTTTTTAGGTGATCAACCTCGATCAGTGTAGTGTTTTGGCCGCTTCTTAGGCTCTGCAGCTCTCCACGTTGCTGTTCAAGCTCAGTTTCATATTCCTTGATGCACTTCCCGCTAAGCTCAAGGGTTGCCGTCTTTTCGCATATCTTGTGGCTCATAGCCTGGAATCTTGCCATTTGCTCGTTGCGAATCCCAACAATTTGCGAGACATAAGAAAATGAGCATTATGCAGCTATAATAGGACATGACAACTGGATAACATCAGCACAAACCCTCAATATTACCGTACCGTACTCAAGCAGTGTGATTGGTAGCCCTACATCTGTTCGTCAGTCATGGCTATGAAGTCATTCTCACCCAGTGAGCTAGTAGTAGGAACACGAGGAACTTGCTGAGGTTGGGAATAAGTACTCGAGGCGGATGCATCATTGGGCTAACTCAAACTCAAAATGACCTGCGGAGCATGTCGAGACTTCTTTGCAGACCCAGAGGGCTCGGTCACTTTTCCCGATCTCCTTTCCCTACGGCCTGGGACCGATAGTGAATGTGGCGTCAACATATCTGAATGATCAGACTCAGACTCCGATAAGCAATCCTCGGAGTTGCTGTGCTGAGCTAACTCAGCCTCCCTTTCTTGAAATCTGGCCCGAATAAGGGATGCCGAATCCTCAGTGCAGCAAAGCTCGATGTCGACGGAATAAATGTTCTTGAATAGATCTATTTCGTGCAAGTTCAAATCAGCTAAAATGAACGAGAAGTAAATTGTTATGCGATGAGCAATGAAGATACGGATAAGAGTCGCAGGGTCCACGAAGCAAGTAACATCCCAACCCTGACCGATCAAGTTCTCCTCCAACCAAGCAATCTGGTCCTCAGGAGTAATGTACCTTTTGTCCAAATGAAGCGCTGCTAAGAGAAAATGTTAATTAGACCAGCAAAAACATAATAAATTATATTCAAAAGGCATAAATCATATACCAGGTTTCGAGCCAAACACCGATGGGATAGACATGTGAGACATCTTAGGCACCTCTCACTCCCCAGTGATTAAGAGATGTTGATTTTTCCAATACTTGGTGGAAATGGGTTTACAAGAAAATATCTTTTCACCATATCTAGGCATAAAAAAGAAATAGTGACTTTCACCCCTAACACAAGCTAAGTCATGGAGGTAGATGAAATCCTTGAAGCTAAGGGACACACCCCACTTCAATCCGATAGCCCAAAAACTGGATATGAGGAGATAAGAATTTGGGTTCAATTGCATGGGGTGAAGACCCAAGAAGAACAAAAGCATATGAAAAGAGCGGCGAAGTGGAAACTTAACGTACTC